TGACATAAAAACCCTAAGATATTTCTTTTATCCTATTTAGCTGCCAAAATGGTATATTACTTGGATCCTTCTAGTCAGAAGCGAGCAGTAGAGTTGGCAACAACACTTGATGAATCTCTAACTAATAGAAACCTCCAGGTAAAGATTTTTCATGGTCTCTCTGTAAAGCAACCTGAATGTTCTTTTCTTTTTACCAAGAGATTTGAATTCTCTATTGTTTACACATGTGAATTCTTTTCAAAATATTATTTTGTTTTTGTTAAATATGTCAGGAATAAAGAACAATTAACAGCTGTAATTAATCTTATTTAACACTTTGTTCAACTAAATTCTTGTGCAGACTATCCCCCGTCTTCACTGATTCAATAAGTACCCATTCTGTATTTGAAAATGTCTTTGAATTTCACAAATAATTGCATTGCAGTCTGTATTCTTGCTTTATTGAGTAGGAACCAGTATTGATAAACATTTTTAAAGTGACATGTATAAGGAAGGCAAGGCAGAGTATATTAATTAAGCTAACAGAAGTATCCTTCACTATAGCAGTATAAGATCTTTAATCACAAATCCTCAGATTCTTTTTGTTTGATTAAGCCTTGTTGTTTTTCAGCTGAAGTGTCCGACTCTAGATGGCAAAGATACTGGAGTGGCTTACCATTTCCTTCTCCAGTGCGTCCTTATTTTACAGATGAGAAACTGAGGCAAATAGGGCTTAAGTGCTTTGCCCAGGGTCACACAGCTAATTGTCTGAGGTCACATTTGAACTCAGATCCTCCTGACCCCAGGCTCAGTGCTCTATCACCTGCATCGCCTAGTGGCCCCATTGCTTACATCTTATTGTTTATTAATTTGTCACGTTCATCATGTGTTCACAAGACTTAAACAAAAATACCGTCATACATTGTATGAAAAAAAAATGGGACTAGGCATCCATTTCATTATAGTTTAGGCCTCTCAGTTTTTACAGAAGAAACAGATGCCCAGAGAAGTTTCTATCAATCATTGAAGATTTTTTTGTTTTTGTTTTTAAAAGGAGGTTGGTGAAGAAGGAAGCAGTTCTGGTTCTTAACAATTAAATTGCTGTGGTAATGTGGGAACAAATTTTGTAGCAATATCAAGATTATAGTTAAAAGGTTAGGACCCAGCACAAGCTAGAGGTCATTTAGAAAAGACTGAAGTGTAAAGCAGTGTTTAAGAAAACAAGATTAAGCTTGGGCATCTGTGATCAAAAGAACCACTAGGACATAATAGAATCTACATTTTGAAGTCTGGAATGGTAGGTTGGCTTCGTTTCTTTGTGACAAAACCACAAACCTTCCACTTTAGACCTTTTTGAGATGGGAAGGAAAAGGAACAAATGAAAATTGAGTCTTTTAAAGAAGGAAAAGGCGAGCAAATGCAAACCAGTATGAATTGGCTGGAAACACACAGGTTACTCTTTGGAGTTTGATTTGTGAATGGTGAGTTTTACCTTCTGTGAAATGAGGAATTTTCAGTAAACAATTAACTGCTTTGTAATACCTGGTTCCATGTGTTGGTTTGATTGTGTTCCGTAGTACTTTTAGAAAGTCAGAGATATCCTTTTAGTTCACATTTTAGGAAGTGCATTTTTGTTTTGTCTAAGTAAAATGTTGAATATGTTAAAAGTAGTTGACTTTGTTAAGCTTTAGTACTGCAAGTCCAAGTCACTTCAGTAAGAATGTGCATTAGTTGACATGATAAAGGCACGGAGTAGGTAGCTAGAGATGCTCAAAACTTTTGCTTTAAATTTAGTTTTGACTGAGGAGATTTGGAGTATTTTGTAATTGAGGAATGCTGATGGGTGAGGGATTAAGTGCACTCTTCCCTAAATGTGCATCCTTTCTCATTGATTTTGGAAATGATGTTAACTTGATGAGACATTTCGTAAGTACAAAAAAGAAACTTATTCCGTGTTTTTACATTGTAAATTACCCTTTTTTCTTAGACATGCATGGAGGCTTTGGGAGCCTTGTGTGACGGGAGCCTTGGAGACTGTAAAGAAGCTGCTGAAACTTATCGAGCAAATTGCCATAAGCTTTTCCCCTACGCTCTGGCTTTCATGCCTCCTGGGTATGAGGAAGACACCAAGATCACAATAAATGGAGATAGTTCTGCAGAAACTGAAGAACTGGCCAACGAAATTTGAGCCCCTTAAGCAAATGAAACGACTTTGGACCATATCTAGTGTATAATATTTTTGTCACGCACCTGCTGCATTGCTCTAACTTACACAGAATGGAAGGAGTCAACGTTTAGCCTTCAAATAGTGTTTTATGTTTTTTTTATCCTGCTGAAAAAGTATATATATAAAATATCTAACATATTACAGGATATAGGTTCAGTTTCTTAAAAATTAAAAGCTGCTAAAATTGAAAGAAAAAAATACCTTATCCTATACCTACCTACCCACCCATGTTTTTAAACTAATTTATATGAAATCTGGAGGCTGTTACAGCTAACAAAGCAGGTGTGTGGCAGAAATATTACTTTAAATTTGTCTTGTGAGATTACTATATCTCAGACAGCAAAAATGCTGTTTTAGCACTGGATTCTTTCACTGAGCACAAAGAGTTGTTGGGGCTTTAGCATCTGACTGGTTTGATATGGGGTTGATCTGACCATAGGAAGTATGCAATGTGAATCACGATTTACAGATAAACCTACAACAGAGGCTTGATGTTGTAGTGAATGGGACAAATAGATACCAAGCAGAATTATTAAGAAACATAGGGTGTTCAATAAGCTTGTTGTGTCTCCAAAATTCACTGTACATGATCAGTTTGGTGTTCTTGTACCACAGTTTTTAACTGAAGGAACCAGTTAGAACAATCTCAATTTTAATTAAAAACTTGAAAAAAAATAGTTAACATTGCTGTCCTGGGGCAAGCCTTTCAGCATTGTTTTGGCCAAACTTAATAAAACTGTAATGCAAGAACCAAATGCACTGTGATGTGGCACCAACTAATTAAAAAGGAAGTATGAATTTTTCACCCCAAAGTGAAAAGAGAGAACCCACCATGGCTTGAAGGTAAAGAGCAGAACTCCTTACTACCATTCTATGACTGATCAAGAGACTAATAGTTAAAAACCTCAGCAGGCCTTGTTCACGTTATGCAGAAAAAAATAAAAAGTGCTGCAGTTTAGATACCTCTGGAATTTTTCCACAGTGTCACAGGTTTGTAATACTTGAAGCCCTACATTTCTAAGAATATATTTCTTGCTCAGTTGTTTCAGGCAAGCCCAAGACTTTGTAACTTTCAAAGGGCCCAAGATTTTTTTTCAATAACAGACCAGCTTCTTATTCCTGCAGTTACAGATGTAATTTCCTTTTTGTTGTCAAACATAAGGTACCAAATATGATGCAATAAAATGTTTTGAAAAACAGTTGTGTGAATATTTCAACTAATAGGTATTGGGCTTCTGTGAAAATACACAGATGGAGACAGACACAGGTGCAAGTCAGAGGTAATATAATGTGCTGTACAGTTATAACATTGATATGTTAATGCTGGTGCAAATGGAAGCTTTATGTAGTATACTAAGTGCTGGTGTCAGGGAAACTCCTAGTTGCAAAATGTAGTACTGCTTGGCATTACAGTCTATCTCAATGAAGGCTAGGGTGGCAGCTAGTACTGTGAATTTAATTCACCGATCTTAATTAAGGGAAAACTGAAGCCTGCTATGTAAATGGTTTTGCTCGAGGAAATGAGCCTTAATATGCTAAACCTATGAAATAATGAGAACTAGCCTTGGGCTCCACAGTCTCTCATTAATTGTCTTTGCAGTATCTGAGCAAATAACAAGATTGAGTAAAAATGAATAGACTGTATATACACTTTACATTTTTGTGGTACTTTTAGTTTATAGAAAGTCAATTCTGAGGAGGTATTTTTCAGGAAGACTTTGACCTAATTCTTGTCAAATGAACTGTTGGGCTAAAAACCAACTTTTTCCTAGTCCATTAATCTGTACTTACAAACCACATCTTAATGGTATAAAAAGTACAAACTGAATCCCATTTTTTTGTTTTATTTTATTACCTGGCCCAGTCTCAGGAACATCTTGAAAGATGGCAATGTATTATTGTTTAAAAAAATAAGAAAACTTCTCCTCTGGCAACTTAAGTTCTCCATGTTGAGAGAACTGGTGTGCTACCTCTGCCGCAGATGAGGTGCTTGAGGAGGCACCAGCCATATGGTGGGGTGGGGTGTGTGAATTATGTTTAAACTCTATTGTATATTGAACTGAAATTCATCTATTGTCTTGACTGTAAAAATGGCTGTAGATTGTCTTTAGAAATGACCATGACTACTCATAACTCTTACTGCAGATACCACCCTTTAAGAGATAAATTCCTAATGTGTATATTGTAATCCAACCCAATCTTTACTGGAACAATTGAATAAATCTTATATTCTCTTTCAGGTTTACTTGATATAGTGCATAAATTGTTTAGGGTCTGAGGACCATGACTTCTTTCATTTTACATCCAAACACTACTCCTAAAACATTGTAATTTAAATACTGTGTGTAGGTATGCTGCTTGGCTTTGACGGGTGGTAATTAATTCATCACATTCGATTCACTCGTGAATTTGTAATGACATTATGATATTTTAGGATGCAGGAAAGCAAGATGGGGAGAAAAAGTTTCAATCCGTCCTGAGTGCTTTAAATTTATTAATGAGACCTGATGAAGTTTTTGAAGGTCACTGTCATTTTTGTTTGTTTTGTTTTTTAAAGCAAGGCAGTCAGGGTTAAGTGACTTGCCCAGGGTCACACAACTAGTAAGTGTCAAGTATCTGAGGCCAGATGTGAACTCAGGTCCTCCTGATTCCAGGGCTGGTGCTCTATCCATTGGGCCACAGGTCAATGTAATTTTAACCTACATGGATATTAAAAAGTACTGACTGTTTTCCTTTACATTAAGCTGGCCATATTGTCTCAACTTATCTTAAAAGAAAAACAAGAACAAAACCCTGTAGTTCAAGGGAGGCTTAGTGCTTGCCCTGATTGTATTTTGTGACGGGTGACTAAAACATTTTTAAAGCACCTATTTGGTATAAGCCGGAGGAGAAAGTAAAAAAAGTGGAAGAAAGTTTAACATAATGTATTTCAGATAGTCAGGGAGGGCGGAATTCCTGTGTCGGTGATTGAGTCTTGCTGGCTTTGTCAAGCGCTGGTGGTTCACAGCCTAGATTTGGTCTGTGCCGTACTATGAATGGCAACTACAGCTGTGGAACGAAAGCTGTGGTTGTAGGAAGATGATACCAGGAAAGTGTGGTCCAGGTTTAAGTAGGTTGTGATGAATTCAGGGAAATCCTTTTTCTGTACAATTTCCAGGAATATTTCAGTTGCAGTGTGCAGCAGCTGTTCTGCTCTAGAAAGAGAAAAGGTAGGGTATTGTGCGTTCTTGAAAGATGCATAAAATGAGTGAATTGCCTTTTCTTACACTTGAGATTAGTTGAATTTAAGAGATTTCATTTAGTGAAACTGACCTTTCAGATAGACAGTAACAGTCTTGTAGTTCATTCTTCATTTCCTTGACTAAGCTGTGAACGAGACTCCTTGACACCACCATTCTCTCATCATCTTCCAATTTAGCTCTATGACGAATCCACTGCCATACCTTAATTAAAATACAGGTTGTTTTTCCCCATCGTTAATCTTTGCATTACAGAGTTCTAAAGACTGGGTGTTATGTTTTTTCCAGTATAAAAGTTCAGCTACAAAGTTTTATTTAAAAGATTAGTAAATTCTGCCATCAAACTCTGGCATCTTACTTCATCTCATTCTGAAACTATCCAGCTGAGTGAAAATTAATTCAGAAATAAGGTTTATTGGAAAAAGTTTAGGTTGAATAACCTGGATTCAGATTTTAATTTCAACCATGTGGGAAACTCCCATAGTGGATACACTTTCCAACAACCCAAACTGGCAGCTCATCTGCCATAGAAAGTTGAGGCCACAAAGAGATTAAGTGGCTTACCCATGAAGTTAAGTCATTTGCCCACTTGCCCACACCCAGTATATGTATCAGATAGAACTTGACATGTCTTCTGAAGGCACTGAGGCCAGCCCTCTATAAACTATCCTTGATTGCTTCTGGAAAGGGAGGACACTGAAATCCCTTTTCAGTGCAGCTTACGGAGGGGAGGGAAGAAGAGATCAAGTATTTATTAAGTAACCTGCCATTATGACCAGGCACTGTGCTAATAAGCACTTTACAGATATCTCATTTTTGTCCTCACAGCAACTCTGGGAGTGAGGTGCTGTTGTCCCCATCTTAAAATTGAGGAAGCAGACAAAGGTTAACTAACTTGCCTAGGGTCACAAAGCTGTAGGTATTCCCGGTCAGGTTTGAACTCGGGCCTTCCTGACTCCAGGCCCCAGCACTCTATTCACTTCATCTCACTCTGCCAATAACTCTTGGTTACTTAACCTGTTTAAAACCATAGGCAACTAGCAAAGAAATCACAAGTGGTCAGGGGTCAGAAGTCTTATTTCATAAGGTAGGAGTTAAAAGTTCTCTATCATTTGCATTCCTATCTGCTTCCTAAAGAAGCAGGTAAGAAAGAAAACGATTAACAATTAGAGCTGTTATCACTTGTCAAATATGTAAGGCAGTCTTAAAGTACCCATGTGCAGTTATTTTGTACTTGACAAGGGCACTGGTTCTACTGAGCCTGGCATCCAATTAAATTAAATTTTTTTCCAATAAGCATAAATCCACCTCTCCTTCCCACCTCCTCCCTTAATCCCCTCTCCCCGAAAAAAGACAAAGAAAAACAAACCCCTATTACAAATATACATAGTTGAGCAAAACAAATGCCCACATTGGTGAGTCCCATTGAATCATGGTTGTTAATAACAATGATCAGAATGTAGTGCCTAAGTCCTTCAAAGTTGTTTGTGTCTTTCATTAACCTAGAAACTGGATTTTGGCTATGAAGGATGTTCTGGGAGTCTTCGTTTTGGGGTTCTGTGTGGGGACTGATGGATTCTCCTTCCATGTTGCCCTCTGGTTCTAAGATGTCCATGCAGTTCTCTTGTGATATCTTGAAATACGTCTAGGCTTTTATTTCTTTTGGAGGGGGTCATGGCTTTCTGGTAGTCTACATAAATGATGTCTTCTAGATAAAGGATCAGTTGTTTTTGCTGTGAGATACCTTACATTTTCTTAGATTTTTTTCAGTTTTTTCAATTTGTTTTTATTTCTGGTCAGTCACTGTGCTAAGTACTGGCGATTCAAAGAAAGGGAAAACAGCCCTTTTAAGGAGCTCAGTCTAATGGAGACACAGTATGCAAACAACTACTTACAAAAATAGGTACAGAATAAATTAGGGCTAATTTCAGAAGGCACTAAAATGAAGGACTGTGAAAGGCTTCTTGCTGAAGGTGAGACTTCAGTTGAGATTTGAAGGAAGCCAGGTGGCAGAGGTGAGGAGGGAGAGCATTCCAGGCATAGAGGAGAATATATGTGAACACTGAGTCAGAAGATGAGAGTGCTGTTGTATCAGGAATGGCATCTTTTTGGTCTATTCTATTGTTTTGGTCTATTTGTTGTTTGGCAAGGGTTTGCACCAGAATGCCAAGCCATTAATTCCCTTTTCCAGATTATTCTTCCGTAGCTCTCATTTCTCTTCCAAATTTTTCTTTACCACTCATTTCAATTTTAAAAGCATTTAAAACTTTTAAAAAATTGTTTCACGTCTTCAAGAAGTTCTAACTGAACCTATACCTAAGTTTTGTTTTCTTTTGAGGCTTTGCTTGTAGATGTTTTGAAGACATTCTCTTCTAGGTTTGTGACTTGAGTGTCGCTGGTACCCTATTAGTTTTTTATGGTGGGATTCTTTTTGTGTTTGCTCATTATTCTGGCCTATTTCCGCACTTTGGACCTTATGTTAGGATTCAACTCTACACATCTGTGGAGGCAATGAATGCCTGGGCTGGTCTTGCTGCTGTTATCTCATGGTATTTGAGTATTATATTCTAAAACCTAAGGGAGAGTTCAGACTGAAGACTTTCTAGCTCTTTTGGTGCTCCCAAAGTGGTCTGATCCGGGGCAGAGTTTGATCACTCCCCTCTCTGGTCTGAGCTCTGCAAGTTCCTGGCATGGATGTCAGTCCGAGTAACATACTGGTGGGCTTGCTTCTATGTGGAAGTCAGTAGATGGCTGCGGGACTCAGCTAGAAAGATCTGCTGGCTCAGAATGAGAGAACTATAGACTCCTCTTTGATCTGGGATTCCTGTCCTGGTTATTCTGCTACAGGCTTTAGGCTGGATTAGAAGCTAGAACTGAGACTGCTCTGCTCCTGGGGTCTGATAGTAGATAGCCACATAGTTACTGCTTGCTTATGAACTTGTTCCATGCTCAATATACAACCTAGGGCCTGCAAATGATTCTCACTCTGCAAATGAATGTCACCCCTACCCATACCTATGTCCTTTCTTCAGTTAGCCCTGGAACTGGGTAATAAGAACAGAGTTGTACCTGCTTTTGCACCATGGACAAGTTTAGGCCCCTCTTTCAGGATCTGGGATCTGTTCTTACTCTGTCATAGAGCTTCCCTTTACAATGCTTTGCGGAGCCCAGTACTGGCTATATACCCTGTCCTCACTATCCGCGGAGCTCTGTCTCTCTGTGCTGACCTAGGCTGGAAAAATGGCTTAGATTTCCTGAGCAGAGTTTGGTCTGGTTCATTTCCTAGATCTTTTTGGAGGTGTTGGGGATGGTCTGAACTCATTGGTATATTTATATTGCTACTCTTCCATGTTGGCTCCACCCTACCAAACTTTTGTCTAAAACAAACTGGTAGTGGGTAGTGGTCTGATACCAGTAAAATGTTTTTTTTTAAAGGTGACAGATTAAAGGATTGACTCCCTCTTCCTACAGGACTCTTTGGAAAATACACCAAAGCCAGCTCTAGTCTAGATTTTGTTCCAGGGCTATCATGTAGAAATAGAAAACTGGCTGCCAAATGAAGTTAGAGAAGTTTCCAAAATTAAACTTTATTTATTGGTTTCAAACCTTCCTAAAGTCATGCATTTAAAGACATTTAATGTCAGTTTCTTCTTGTTCAGTAACCATCACCTTTACAAATTAGTTGTGTTTATATGACTTATACAACTTCAGCAAAGGCTGTAGTAATTGAATGTGTAGTGAATTTTGCATACCTGTGACCTGGAGATCTCTGCTGTTGCTGAATCTTCCACTTGACCACGATAGTAAAAATGACCTTCTCCTTTAGGAATAACATGGAAAACGTTCAGACTAAACAGAACACATTTTGGATCATCCTGCTGCTTATTTTCACCTACTAGTTTCAGTCACCTCTTGCCCAGTGTTCTGGGGATCATGTCACCATACCATTTAGTCCATCCTGTGGTGACTGTCTTCTCTGCCCACCAGTTTCACAAAGTAAGACTTTGAGAAGTTTGCCACTTATTTATTTGCTAATGGAGACATAATACTTTGTCTGCTGTCCCAGCTTAATGGTGGTCAGCCAGTTCCAAGTGGACCAGAGTACTTTGAACTCAGAAGCATGCTCCTCCTTCCCTCATGCAAACAACTCCATTGTTTCTCAGGTGAGGGGGCCACCACTGTGGCCTTTTATTTCACAGTAAGGAATTGAGAATTCCTTTGAATTGCAGGGTCCAAATTTTGGTCATTTAATTGAAATTGAAAAATGGCTCATTTAAATGGGTCACAAAAAGCAAAACATCCAGATAATCCACCCTCTCCACCCCTTCTTGCTATTCCCCCAGTGTTTGCTCCCCAGATTCCTTTCTTGCTCTGTCTCTTGCTATTTGGTTTCATCTGGAACTTTGTGCCAATAGGGCAGCAAAGAAAGTCTCTGGCTATTTCCTCAACCTTTTGTACCCATGTACACTGATATTTTCCATTAATTCTAACAGTAAAGATAAATATGTATGTCTGTATTCAACCAATGCCTCTGTTCTTCATTGTACTCAAGTGCTCTTGAGAGAATATCAAAATGCAAAATGAAATTATATTCAGACATTTTAACTACATTTCTGATCTGTTACATGATAATTTAAGATTAACACTAGATGTTTTTTGTAAAGACAGTTCCTTTCACAAAGCAGGCATGCCATAAATATTTGTGAATACTGTCCTATAGGTTGCAGCAAGAGATGTACCAATAACTACAGACCACCTGATAAAAAAAGATTCACAAGTTATTAATAAGCACAAATTTTTGTTACAGTAACATTTCCACTTACCTGTTGATCTGGTGAACTAGGGCAAGTAAGTAATGCAGGGTTTTTGTTTATTTCCTGCAAGTAAACTGTCTTGTATGACTGCATCTCTGCCCCAAATGGTACAGATCTCTAAGTATTGTTAACCTTTGCTCATATAAATAGAAAAGGATGTTGATCTAGAGACCAAAATCTGGATTTCTGTTCACTAATTCCTATGGATTTTGTTAGTGTTTGTGAGAAGACCATGTCTACAGTGGTGTTCACTTAAATGGCCCTTGTAGCATGCTGCTGACTTGGTACCAGAGATTCCTTAAGACTTTTCCCTGCCTTCTCAACCTATTCATTTTGGAATTGACTAATAGTGACTAAAGTGAGATAAAAAATTGTTTCCTTCCACCATCTAGAAGCTACCTACCACACTGCAAAGTCCTCAGAGGAATATTGTCACTAAAATGATGTGTTTTAGCTGTTGCCTTTCATCCATAGTTCCCCACCCCATTGAGCTCTTAGGTTTCTAGCATCAATCTCCCGTTTATGGTTGGGAACAGATGGACTGAGAAGAGTGGGAATGCAAAGCAGCTGTTTGGATGTGGTCTATTTTATTTTATTTTATTTTTTGGCTCTCTGCTTTGGATGACCAGTACAGAAAGTAGAGGGAACTCCAAGGGTGTTCAGCAGGCATTTGCCCTGGTTGCAACTGGACACTCCCCCATAGCATCACAGTTTTGCCCACAGATGGTGTTCTGTATTACAGGAAGAAAAATCAAGAGTTCTAGTAATATTGGGTTATTTTATTCTGAGTCAAAATAGGTAACATCCAGGAATGTTATCAAGTCAAAATAAACAAGGCAGTACACAGGAAAATGATGCTCTTAATGGCTCTTGATTAGATATAAAGCTAACCTGCATTCATTGTATATTTTACTGAATTCTTTTAGGCAAATTGTCAGTCTTCATTTGGAAAGGAAAGCAAGGAGTCTGCAAACTAAAAGGAAAAAAAAAGTTTTTCCCTCTGAAGATGCAAATTATCCAAACTACAGCATCTACCCTGCAAATCCACACCATCTAGCTGAGTTTAGGTTATCTCTGACCAGTGTTTCACGAGGGGAAATAACACACTCCTGAGGGAGAAGGAAGAAAAGAAGAGCTTAAGCACCAAGATGGAAACCCCATTAACTAGCAGCTAGAAGTGTCTGGCAGCCTGGAAAGAGAACTTTGAAGTGGGGCCCATCATGCTTACACAGTGATGTTAACAAGTTTACATCAAAACAGAGCCCATTGCTGAGGCTTGTGAGTGGTAAAGGGAGACAACATTCATTTCTGCTACCTTGTTTCTTGTCCTTGTCCCTGTTCTATTCATACCCACTTTTGTGGAGGGAGATGACCACCACTGGACACAAGGTAACTCATTCTGGCTATGGTCCATTCCAATTCAGTATTTCTCTGGCAGATTACATATTATCAGTTATGCCTAAAATATTTCCAGTTTCCATTATAGATTCTTGGTTGATTTATCTCTGACAGATTATTAAATGCTCACTTAGCATTTATTTTTCAGCCTGTGTAACTGCTTAGGGTAAAGAGTTGTATATGTTTGCTACCTCACATATTGTGTAAGGTAGTATTGATTATGATAAGTTAGTACATTTAGTTTAGTAATTCCTGTATCTTGAATAGGCACTGAAGATGAACCATGAACTAGGCCCACAATGGAACAGGAATTGGAGAGTACTGCACATGATTACACTTGGGAAAATAGAGTAGCTCCCTACCTATGTGGTTTTTTTTCTCAGATATAACCATTTATTTAACAGTTAGGCCAAATAAATTCCATAGATATTAATGTTAAAGCAAAAGGCATAGTAAATCACCATACACATATAAAGCTATATCACGCTCTCTGCCTATATGTTTTAACACCAGTATCCTACCATAAATGATACATAAGCTGTGAATCATGGAAAACCTCATCAGAAGAACTGAGGCTGAGTGAACCCAGGAGCAATGGGGAGACTAGTCAGTACAGATGTGCTGTGGTGTGCTACCACAATGAGGATCCTCCTAAGAAGGGGCATACAAGTGTTGTTAATGATTGGAAAGGGAGGAGTACCAGGTATATAGCAAGAGGAAGAGATATAACATGAACAACCAAGAATTGGGCTGTTAGTCACAAAAAATGTTAAGACCTAGCAGAAGCGCTCTAGTACAATGGGTAAAGGATGTGGATACTAATCACACCTGATGAAGTGTGGATAGGTCCTGATCAACAATGGTGCAAGTAAGGAGAACCCACATGAAATCACAGGTCCATGAAAGTAACAAAGTAAGTGTAAAGTAATGCTTCTTTTTATGCTTTTCAAGCTTTAAGAAGCATATTTTAAATTAGGGTGACTATTAATCTTCTTTATACTATCCATAAAATTAATGATTTTTATAAGGATCATATCTCCTTTTAGGTCTTTGTCTTGAGACATCCATTTTTGGACATGACTAATATGGGAATTTGTTTTGCTTCACTAGAATTTTTTAAACAATATTTCTTCCCCCCAATTATATGGGTTGGGGTTTTTTTTTTTGAGGCAATTGGTGTTAAGTGACTTGCCAGGGTCACACAGCTAGTAAGAGTCTGAGGCTGAATTTGAACTTAGGTTCTCCTGATTCTAGGACTGATGCTGTATCCACTGGGCCACCCAGCTGGCCCACCTTACCACCTGCCAATTATATGTTTGTTAAAATAATTGTTGACTTTTTTTTTTAAAGTTTAGTTCCAAATCTTATTATCCCTCCCTCCTCTCTTCCTTAGATGGTAAGCAATCTGATACAGGTTGTCCATATGCAATCATGTAAAACATTTCCGTATTTGACGAGCATATTTTAAACAAGGATTTTGTTTTTCTTTTTTCTACTAGGGGAAGTGATAGGGAGAAAAATAAATTTTCATTGAAAAAATTTAATCAAGCCTTCATCTTGCAGATAGTAAAATCCTAATTTTAGTCTGTCTTTATATAGTAGCTCCTCGCCTTTCCTTTTAAATGTGTTTCTTTGGTTCTTCTACAACTTTGACATTTTCCTTGAAGTAGAGATGATGTTCCAGGTATAGACATCCCAATAGTTTCATGTAAAGGTAAAATATTTTCTACATCAGTTCAACAGATTACCTGATGATGCCTACCATTTCATAAATCTTTTTGGCTACTACAGCCATTGGGCCATTATCTTCAGGTAACCACCTAAGTCCATTGTCTGGCTATAAAAAGTTTGGATTTTGATTATTTGACAAATTATATTACTTCATACTTAATTCACACTGAAGCTCATCTATTTTGTGTTTTCACAGTGGAAAAATCTTCCATAAGATTATTGCTGTAAGAATGGCTGGACAAATTGTGGTGTATGAACGTAATGGAATACTGTTGTGCCATAGGAAATGATAAAAACCAGTTTCAGAAAAACTTCAGAAGACTTGTATGAACTAATACAAAATGAAGTGAGCAAAGGAAAACACCTTTGAAAGAATTAAGAAATCTGATCAAATGCAAAGAATGACCAAGATTCCAGAGGATGAAGCATGCTACCCCATCTTCTGGCAGAAAGGTGATGGATTCAGGGTGAAGAATGAAACATGTTTTTTGAACATGGCCAATGTGGGAGTTTGTTTTGCTTGACCATGCCCATTTGTTAGAATGGGGTTTTTTTCCTTTAAAAAAAAACTTTTTTCAGTAGGGGTGAGAAAAAATAGATTTTTTAATTTAAAAAAATTAGTATCATTAAAAAAAAGATTATTCCCTTTATCTTTGCATTTCATTATCCTGAGGGATTTAGTATGATCAAGTCAATGGATGAGTTCAATCATTGTACCACTTTCTTACAGGTTACTTATAAAAAATGTTTAATACTGACTCCCTGAGCAGGGATCTCCCCAAATATAGAGGCAGTACATTTGTTCCTTGGTTCAGAGGAACATACGATCAGACTGACAATTCTTTGTGAAGAGGAACATGTAAAAGAGAGTACAAATAGATGAGGCTATAAACTTAAACACAAATGTTCACTGGAGACCAACTGCTCTAAAAATCCTACTTATATTTCTCTAGTCATTAAAGTTCCAGTTTATCCTTCCCTTTGTTTCTTAACTCAAGACCTGTTCTAGACAAAATAGTTGTATAAATTCTATTTGCCTCAGTTCTTAAAAGTTTATAAAAGAGCATTTGCAATATTTTATACCAGTCCTCACCCAAAATTATTTAAAAAAAACCATACTATCACACAGAAAGTTAAAACAGAACAACTAAAAATAGCAGATGACAGTAATGATCTAAGTCCAGAGGTAATGCTAGTGAGTAACTATGAGAGACCAAAAGGGGGATAATGAAGGGTCAGTAAAGAGATGTGTAGCAGATTCTCTAAAATTAAAATAGACGTTTATTCTTGATTTATGCGGAAGTACCTTTTTTCTTTCCAGGATTGTTTTGTTGTATAACTAATCAAATAGATAAACTACAAAAATGAGAGAAGGTTTTAGTTTTTTTGAAGGCATTTCACATTCTGGTATAAAAGTTAACATTAATCTTACTTACGTGGGTTGGGTGACGTGGCTATCCCCATCATACAGATGGGGAAGGTAAAATTCAAGGTGGCTAAGACACTTCCCAACATAACAAGCAAATTGGTGGCACAGCAACAACATAATCCATAGCCCCCATTTCTCTTATAAAAACCCCATACTCTTCGCAAGTAGACATGTCCATTGCCATGTGTAAGATATTATGGGGTGAGATGAACTGAGTACTACTCACAACAAATAGGTTGAATAACAGATTCCCAGGTTATATAGTGAGTTTATTGGAATTAACAAAATGATTCTACTCTTACCTTTCAGCCAAGAATATATGAAGAGCACTCCAACAGCAATGTTATACTTCAGGCCATGGAGGGTGACACCTCCCTAACGAGAAGGGAAAATGTGTTACTACAGACCAGCCTAAACTCCCAACAAAAAGTATGAGCATTTAACTTCTGCTTTTCCCACTCTTCTCTCTCTCTCTCTCTCTCTCTCTCTCTCTCTCTCTCTCTCTCTCTCTCCTCTCTCTCTCTCTCTCTTTCTCTCTCTCTTCTCTCTCTCTCCTCTCTCTCTCCCTCTCCTTCTCTCTCTCCCTCTCCTTCTCTCTCTCCCTACCCCCTCTCTCTCTTTCTCTCTCCTCCCTCCCTCTTCCCCTTTCTTAAAAGGATTTAAGACTATTTGCCAAATTCTGCATTTTTTTCTAAGCCGTGTTCCCAAAGCCTACTAATGCAAAGAGGATAGGATTGCAAATTTGCAACTGGAAAAGGGCCTTGGAAATCATCTAATCCACTCTTTTTATTACAGAAGCTAAAAGACTCAAGGCTACAGAAGTTGTGATTCAAACTCAGATCCCCCTGACTGCAAATGTGGTGCTTTCTCCACTGTGCCACATTGACTCTCAGTGTCACGTGGGCCCCCTTACATCCATTCTCTCAGATGTGAGACCTTGTAGGAGAAAGCTGGTTCATAATCAGTTTCCTGCTTGTGAGAGGCAGCAGCTCACCCTGAAACAAGCTAGCAGTAATGCTTAACACTCTGTCATTCAGTTAGAAGGATAATGGGGTCAGGGGAGAGGGAGAAGGGGTTTTGGGATCTTGATATTATCACTTTTAAGCTACTTTAGGATCACCATTAAAAATCAAAATCCAAAAGTTAGATTTTGCATTTCTAGCACATATAGGTGGCAAAGCATTAAGGCATTTCACTTAAGAGGGGTAATGTCGGAATCTCTGGGCATCTTTTTCTGTTACTGTAAAACAGGGGGTAATAATACTTAATCTACCTTTCAGGGGTTTTATGAGTTTTAGTTGAGATAATGTAAAGTACTTTGTAATATTAATGCAATATTAGTGCAGCTAGTTACTGTGATGTGTATAGTTCTATTCATTTAATCTTTGCCATTTTTATTTGATTTTTTTTTTAGCATATTGTGTTTAAGGGCAGCTACAGGGTGCAGTTGATAAGATACATCACTGACTTCATTTGAGTTTCTTTAAACTGTCTTACCTTAGTTTTCATATTTTTGCCTCAGTTTCCTCATTTATAAAATGAGCTAGAGAAGGAAATGGCAAACCACTCCAATATCTCTGCCGGAAAAACCGCAAATAGAGTCACGAACAGACACGACTGAAATGATTGAACAACAATGATATCGTGCTCAAAAAAAAAAAATCAGTGTCCCTAAAAAGGTGGAGAAAGCTAGTACTCAGGTATCTCAAGGGAAATGCTGAAACAAAAACCATTTGGATACCTGGCCACCACTTCTAAAACATTCTAGGAGAGAAAAGATGACCCACCAGCCCCTACAGGATTATCAAGGAAATCAAATGTTTACTGGCAGAACCAGATAAAGACAATGCATGTTATTTTCATGTAGTCATTGCATGCCCATAGGATTCCCCTTTTGACAGAGGGGCTTTTAAACTTGACTGGTTTCTTCCAGAAGAATAAAAGCTAACATTCACATAGTGCTTAGTATGTGCCAGACACTGTGCTAAGTGCTTTACAATTTACAAAGAATTTACCTTACGAGGAAACTGAGGCAAACAGAGGTTAAATGACCTGCCCAGGCTCACACAGGTAGGAAGTGTCTGTATCAGTGCAATGACTGACCATTTCTCCAGAGGTCCCGTGATGAGGTATGTTATCTACTTCTGGAGAGAGAGATGATAGTAGCTACAAGGTGCAGAAAAAAGATATACATTCTTGGACATGGCCACTGTGTGGATTAATTTTGCTTGACTGATTATTTATTACAAGGGTTTGTTTTTTGGTTTTACTTTGTTTTGCTTTTGTTTCTCTTGGTTGAATGAGGTAGGGAGGGTTAACAATGGTGAAGTCAAAAAAAAGGAGGGGCATTACATAACATTTTTAAAATGTTCAACAGGAAGCACAAACCAGAAAGTAACATGAAGAATTTATTATACTTTTTAAAAACCAAGTGGCATAAAATGGGGATTCACAATTTCATATAGCACCCTCTTATTGTGTTCTGTCATATGTATGGAAGTACTCGTTTTTGTTTAAGTTCAGAGTAAAAAATGTTTTATGACATTTGAATTGACTCCTCAGAAGCAGCAGATGGACAAGCTTGGTTTGGACAAAAACAAAAACATCAAACATCACAGCCCTCACTAATATAATTAGTCAAGTGTAGAAACTTCACTTCGAGAAAAGCTTGTGATCACTTTATAAGGCTTTTCCGGAAACACTTCTGGAAATCAAATATTTTAGTAAAATATTTTTTGTTGTTCTAAAACAATAAACAATAAAAATATTCCAGAAGAAAAAAATACCAGATAAGCTTTGGTTTTTAAGATATATCACTGACTTCATTTGAGTTTCCTTCTTTAAGTTGTGTCTTACCTCAGTTTTCATGACCCCATAATATTCTCCAGTCATTTCTTCCTCATGTGATTCACTGACTCCCTTCTCTTCCAGTATCACAAAGGCTTCATTACTGGCCCACTGCTTCGTTCTTCATTCTCTCCCTCAGTGATCATCCACCCATGGCTTCAACTATTATTGCCACTGTGGAGATGACTCCCAGATCTATAGATCTAGTTCTGATCTCTCACCTAAGTAGCAGTCTCGCATCTCTACAATTTTCACCCAGCTGTCCCACAGTCACCTCAAACTCTCCATGACCAACAAGGTTTGCTCACCTCAAGTCCTGCCTTCAAAGTGAAACCTTCCCTGACTATTTATTCATCTCCTCTTGAATGCATGAAAACAGAGTATGTGCTCTTTAATTTGTTTCATAAGATCATAGAGTTGTCTGAATAGGCTGGAAAGAGCCTCAGGGACCAACTGATCCAACCCTTTTATTTTAAAGGAGCAAAGTGACTTGCCCAAAGTTACACAAGTACAAAGAGCTGGGATGGGAACTCAGATCTCCTAATTTTAAACCCAGCATGCTTTCCCAGTATCTGTGTCTTAAACTACTTCTAAATAACCCCACGATGCCTAGCCTAGGGCCAGGCACTTAGTAAATAGGGCACGAACCTAGTGTCCCAAGAATTTAGTGTTAACACCATTATCAGGGAACAGGATAGAAGATTCTCTTCCTGGCACTATTAGGACCTTTAGCACGAGGCTCCGTATTTAAGTTTTCTATCAGCTGCAAGCCCTTCTCAATCTAATGCCTGATAATATACATCTGTTTTTAGTCAAATAATCAAAGATTTCACTGAGGAAAATCCTTACCGCGGGCATGGCTAGCAGTTGTGTGGCAGTCACGTTCACACCTTCAGGAATGACATGTAACTGATTGGGGCCTCTTGTATGTTCCTTAAATAGCTGTGTCAAAGAGAAATAGATGTTAAGATTATTGTAATACTGTTCTGGGAAGTCAGTACTTCTAGTTGAGAGTCTGTTATAGTTTTTATGTTTTAATTGTTTTATGTGTTTGGGCTTTTATCCCTCATCTGAGCCACATTAAAATATGATTCTTTATCACCAAATAAGCTATTTTCACCCTACCACATAAAAGATTTTTTTCTAGACTAAGGTAGTAATTATAACAGACCTACATCCTTGTCCAGTGGGAGCTCTGCTACTTAATAAGATTGACTCTTCAAGACTTTTCTCCCTAATCTGGAGGTTTACCAATTTGTATATGCATTATTAAAATAGAATGGTACCCATAAAAGAGGATGTGAATACAAGCATTGTATCTAGGCTGGTGTTTCTTGCTGCTGGCTACCACTACTATATATTGTATTAGCCCCAAAAGAGATTTTATTTTTCTGTCCTTAAGCCTTTAAGAAACTCTTTTCTCTTTGTTCTTTATCACTGGAAAGCCCTGTTGGGCATGATGATAACAGTGATGGGAAACTTCAATTATTTGGACATCTACCAAAAGTTTGGCAGCTGATAAATTTTCAAGGATAATTTTATTTTTCAAAAAGGTAGAAGAAATATATGAGATCTGCTGTTCTGGAAATTACTCTGGCAAGTATAAATGATAGGAATCTTGGAGGTAATGATAATTCCATCTTAAGAATTTATGTTAGAGGAGAGGAAATTCAGGCATACTCTGATACATACCCTAGATTTTGGGAGACGAGATTTCAGAGAAAGAACAGAGAGTACTTCATGTCCTAAAGTTTTACAGAGAAGTCAGAGCAAGAGAGATAGAAAACTTTAAAATGAAATTTTGACAAAAGAAATTACTCTTATGAGGAAGAGACAAGAAACTTGTTGAAATAGACCAACATGGATGTACATCAACCAATGTACATTTTTTTTTTGCTTTTTTTTTGGGGGGGTGAGGCAATCAGGGTTAAGTGACTTGCACAAGGTCACACAGCTAGTAAGTGTTAAGTGTCTGAGGCTGGATTTGAACTCAGGTACTCCTGAATGCAAGGCCAGAGCTCTATTTTTTTTAAAAAATAAATTTATTTATTTTCAGTTTTCAATATTTACTTCTACAAGATTTTGAGTTCCAAATTTTCACCCCATCTCACCCCTCCCCCCACCCCAAGATGGCATGCATTCTGAATATCCCTTCTCCTAGTCTGCCCTCTCTTCTATCTCTTCCCCCCTTCTCTCATCCCTTTCCCCTTCTATTTTCCTATAGGGCAGGACAGACTTCTGTACCCCATTTCCTGTATTTCTTATTTCCCAGTAGTATGAATCTGGTGGGAGCAAATCTCCCTTCCTCTCCTCCCTTCCTCCCTCCCCACCCACCCTCATTGAAAAGGTAAGCAACTCAATATAGGTTATACATGTGCAGTTATGCAAAACACTTCCATAGTAGTCGTGTTGTGAAAAACTAACTCTATTTCCCTTAATCCCATCCTGCCCTCCCATTTATTCTATTCTTTCTTTTGACCCTGTCCCTCTTCAGAAGTATTTGCTTCTGATTACCCCCTTTCCCAATCTGCCCTCCTCTCTAGCATCCCCCTGTGTTCTCTTGTCCCCTTCTCCCCCTATTTTCCCATAGTGTAAGACAGATTTCCTTATCCAATTGAATGTGTATGTTATTCCCTCCTTAAGCCAAATCCTATGAGAATAGGATTCACTCATTCCCTCTCACCTTCCCCCATTTCCCCTCCACTGTAATATAATCCTCTCTCATCCCTTAATTTTATTCTCTGGATATGACCCCTTAATCTTCAACTCACCCTGTGCCCTCTATCTATCTACCTATACATACACGTAATTTTTTTCCTCCAACTACCCTAATACTAACAAAGGTTTCATGAGTTGTAAATATCATCTTTCCATGCAGGAATGTAAACAGTTCAACCTTAATAAGTCTCTTATGATTTCTCTTTCCTGTTTTACCTCTTCATGTTCCACTTGAGTCTTGTATTTGAAAATCAAATTTTCTATTCAGCTCTGGTCTTTTCATCAAGAATGCTTCAAAGTCCTCTATTTCACTGAATGACCATTTTTTCCCCTGAAGGATTATACTCAGTTTTGCTGGGTAGGTGATTCTTGGTTGTCTCCTTTGCCCTCCGGAATATTATATTCCATGCCCTGCAGTCCTTTAATGTAGAAGCTGCTAAATCTTGTGTTTTCCTGATTGTGTTTCCACAGTACTTGAATTGTTTCTTTCTGGCAGCTTGTAATATTTTCTCCTTGACCTGGGAACTCTGGAATTTGGCTACAGTATTCCTAGGAGTTTTCCTTTGGTGATCTCTTTCAGGAGGAGATCGGTGGAGTCTTTTGATTTCTGTTTTGCCCTCTGGTTCTACTATATTAGGGCAGTTTTCGTCGATAATTTCTTGAAAAGGGGGCGGAGCCAAGACAGCAGAGTGAAAGCCAGAGCTCTATTTACTACGCCACCTAGCTGCCCCCAATGTACATATTTTAAAAGTATATATAGAAGATAGAAGCAAGGGCAAGTAAGAGTGAACACAAAATAATTGCCATCTTGAAAGAATGTAGCTGGGAGGCAAAGCTCAGAATGAAATGAATCTTTAAAGAAGACTGTGGACCAAGAAAAAGACCTTTAAAAAAAACATATAACATGCAAATAAAACAAGTCCAAATCGATATAGTTAAAGTAGTTTTTTATGCCCCAAACTGAGAAATAGATAGAAAAAAGGGCAGGTCCTGGCCAGTGAAAGTCCTTGGAGCAGGTTAAGTGGGTTCTGCTTGCTGCTAGCCCATGTAGAAGGGCCAAGGAAGCCTGCTTCTGGAAAGGGGTGATGGCCTGCAATAGAAGGGACCCATTCCTCCAGACCCATTCCTCAAACCAAAGCTTGTTACAGATATTCTGTAACTGGTTCTAGTCATCTAACCAGGTGGTGAAGAGATGGAATTCTGATTGGTTGTTCAGCTGTTCAGTGGAAAGGCACTGACCAGCCTAAGTGCAAGTCTTTCTTTTGTGCTCTGCTTCCAATGAAGAAGATGAGCTGCTCTGGGCCCTCAAGAGAAGGGGCTTTGGGCCCTCTCTCAGAGCCAACATGAAATTATGAATATTTGGTCCAGGTGCTATCTCTTCGTTGATGTTTTCTATTTTCCTTCTAGATGAAGGAATATTGAAGATGGCTATGATCCTATGAGCTTCAAAAGGTAAGAAGAATGAGCACCAGAAGTATGGGAGCTGGACTCTAGACCAGCAGAGTGAGCAAAGTTGGGGTAGCAGATGAATTGAGGAATAATGAACTGGGTGACCCAGCCAAATGGTACTTGAAATGAAAACTCATCAAGCAACTCTGATGGATTTGGAAGTGAATCTGGTGGGAGCAAATGCTTGATAAAAACTGCTTTCAGTGTAAGCCCATTCTTCCCAGCATACAGAGGGGAAAGTATTACAGCCTCTCCTCTTCCCTCCCCTAATTAGAAAAGAAATGCTTTGTAACTTCTCTTCTTGCTATAACATCACAGTAAATATCTTTCTCTTCATAAAAAAAATCATCCAAGACACAAATGCATAACACCAAAAACCATTCCCCAGTAGATAAATGTAAAAAGGAAGAATCAAAAACTATTAATAACCATATGGAAGAATGCTCCAAATCATTAATTAAAAAAAAAGGCAAATCAAAACAACCCTAAGGTTTCACCTCACAACCAGAAAATTGGTAGAGTTGACAAAAGATGGGAATAGTCAATATTGGAGGGATTGTGGGAAAACAGGCACACAAGTGCATTGCTGGTGGAACTGAGTAAGTAATTTTGGAAAGTCATTTGGAATTATGCAAATAAAGTGACTAAAATGTCCATGCTCTTTGACCCTAAGAGATTCTGCTACTAGGCTTATACCCCAAGAGGCCAGTAATAAGAAGAAAGTTTCCAGATATACCAAATTACTTATACTGGCACTTTTGGCGATACTCATTGTGAACAGAGTATTGTTTCATTCTCCTCACCTTACACAGCAAGTGGGACTTATTAGGTGTGTAATAAATACTTTTTGATTAACTAGACAGAGATCATGCCACATAAGGACTGGTTAAAGGAAGAGGGATGTTTAGCCTGGAGAAGAGATTTAAGACATAAAAGTACTTGAAGGGTTTTCCCCTAGAAAGTCAATGAGACTTTCTAGTCTTAGCCTAGTGGGCAGAATGTGGACCAGTGCTCCAGGGGCAGATTTAGGATAGATATGAGATACATGAAAAAGTTTTCTAACAGTAAGATCTGTTTGAAAGTAGAAGGGGCTGTCTTGGAAGATAAGGAGTTCTTTTTCTTTGAAGAGGAGTCTAAATGACTTTTTCAGGAATGTTGTACTTATCCAAGTATGGCCTTTAAAGTATCACAGTGGATAAAGACCTGGATTCGAAGTCAGGAAGATCAAAGTTAAAATCTCATCTCAAACACTTAATAGGTGTGATCTTGGGCAAGTCACTTAAAACTGCTGTTGGCTTCAGTTTCTTTATTTGTAAAATGGGGATAATAACGGTACCTGTCTCCCATGGTTGTTGTGAGGATAAAATGACATTATTTGTAAAGCAGTATGTAAATATATAGGATTTGGATGGCTTATGAGATAGATGCCCTTTAACTGTGAAATTCATAATTCTATGACATCGAGGATGGAGAGATGAGACAGAAGAATTTAGATGCATCAGTTCCTTCCTATCTACTTTTGCCTTTTGCAATGACTTAGAAAATATGAGCTCAGTTTGATGAGGTAGCCAGAAGAATAACAGAACTATTAGGAGGTGACTTACTCTGACAACGATCTGATGATACAGAGAAAATATCAAGTGTATGAGAGAGGTCTTTCCAAGCACAGCACAATGCATTATGACAGGTTAGCATTCCAACTTCAGTAAAGAAACAATTAGAGATTAGGATAAGAAATAGCCTGTGGCCTACAAGAACACAAATACAGTGGGTTTATTTCCAGCTTCCTTAAGGCCACAATCAGGTAAAATTTAGCTCTTCAAAATCCTTTAAGTAATAAAATAAGAATGCCTAAGAAAGTATAACTTGTTTTCAAAGTCACTCTTTCTTAAGTGATACAATATACTTAACTCAGAACCACTTAAAAATAAAATAATATGTATGGAGGATAAAAAAAGATCAAAATTGTCTACTCTAGTCAGAAGCCAAACTATCATATTTACCAACCTGGCTAAATTATTAACAAACCAATTCCTAGGCTCTAGAAAATGAAATGGGAAAGATGATATCACTTTGATTTTTTTTTTAAACGAAGACTACTATGTTACTCTTTAAAAAACAAACAAGATTTTCCCAAATGTAAAACATGTACAAAGGTACCTTCTGCATTGGTTCCACCAAGCCAATATCATACACCATAAATCCATCCACTCCAGCTTTGATTTCAAACAATTTGAGCCTAGAATTAGCAAAGAAATTCACTGGTCATCTGTTCACATCCAGATTATTTTATTAGGTTATCTTCATTTTTTTTTATCATAAAACTTTTCATTTGGAAGGCTTTTATACTTGTTTTTTCTAAAGCTGTCAAAGCATCCTATAAGTGACAGTTTCCTCAGCCTGACCCATAGGACATTTGTAGTTCAATAGTGCCGTCATTTATCTGGCAGACTTTTAGCAAACATATCATCTAAATACAGTGAGGACTCAGAAGTAAGCCAAACAAAATAAACCTTTGAGTGTTGCAATAGCTTTAACTATGACCACCACAGGTCCCTCCAGAGCACAACCTTTTGGTTTAGTAGAATTGTATGGGAATGAAGATTAGTGTCTGAATGAGTTTGGTTGTAAGATTTTTTTTCCTCCAGCTCTTTATAGGCTACAGAAGATAGGTTAGGAAGGTGAGTCAGTAAAGGGAAGGAATGGTTGTTCAATGAAGTTGGCCCCTGAGAAGCCCAAGAAGAGACAGAATCATAGCAACAGTTTAGGGCCATTTAGTTCATAGGCAAACAGTGCTACACACATCAATATGAGGTCATCCAAAGAAAAAAAATCAAATGAGAGTCAGTATGTTCTAAGAAGGCAGGAAAGTATGTACATGTTTTTATAGAATTTTCATTAAAATGGTGAGTATAAGTTTTCTAGAAAGATTATCATATTTATTTATTTCCACTGATAACAGAGAAATGAGATCACTGGGTTATTTATTTGTTTCTCTGCTATTATTTCATTAGTGAAAATAGAGTAAATGAAAAAATGGGTAGAAATTAGAAGAGACATGATCTACTTTAAAGAATAGAACTTAGTGCTGATAGTAAGTTTTTGTGAGCACTTCTACTTACTCCTAACAATGTGTATGTAGTACAGTGCAAAAAATAATGGGTGTAGAGTCAGAAGACATGACTTTGAATCCTGGTTCTGCTGTTACCTTTGTGAACTTAAATCACTTCTCTCTGGGCCTTATTTTCTTTATCTGTGAAATGAAAGGGTTGGACGAGATCCTTTAAGTCAGCATGGTGTAGTTTTTAAAGTGCTAGATTTGAAGTCAGGATCTGCCTATCTTTGGACAGATCACTTAATCTCTCTGGGCCCCGGTCTCATTATCTGAAAAATGAGAGGACTGGAGTAGATAACCTCTGAAGTCCTCTCCAGCTCTAAATCTATGCCCCAGTGAAGATTCTGGTCCCTCAGTTTCAGTCTCTAAAGGAAATGCAATGAAGAGTTTGCTCTATAGCTCCTAAAAAGCTTAGATTTTCTTACCTCTTAACAGCTGCTAAGACTGACTGGTAGCCATCACTTTTTTGGTCCTTTGGTAGTAACAAGGCAGCCATTCCCCCAGTTGCCAAAGCCCCTCGCCTGTGACACGTCTGCACCAGCAAATCCATATAACTCTTAAGAAAAAGCTTCTCCATGTTAACATACTTACTCCTGTCAGGCAACAAGAATTCAGCTCGATGACCTGGTAGAAAAATGGAGTGAAAGAAGAAGAGGAGTGAAAGGAGATACAAATCAAAACATTCACTGTAGAATTTTCTGTACAAGTCTGCTTCATAAGTTGTAATCCCAGCCTTATCAGAGCCAGAGCTGTATTGGTTCTCACATTATTCTGAGAAAACTTACATTTTTTAAAAAAGGGGGAGAAACAGTCGCTTTCCTGGCGTAGACACTTTTCTTTCACTAATTCCATTCAAGAAACTTTTAAAAAAATACCCATTGTGTTCAAGAAGCTATCTTGGAAACTAGGGATACTAAAATTTTTAAATTACATCTGTAGTTTTCATAGAGCTTACAGTCTCTTGTAGGTGGGAATATAGTGTACAAAGATAAATGTGATGCAAAGTAACATGTGATAAGGGCAAAAGAGAAATCTAAGAAATTCTAAGAAAATGGAGAAGTCACTTCCTACTGTGGGATGAGAGCTGAGGGCAGCACATTCACTACACTATGAAAGCTCAAGGAAGGTTTCACAGAGAAGGTGGCACCTAAGCTAGGTCTTTGGAGGAAGGGGGCTTCTGCTGGCAGAGATGAAGGGAAGAAGCTATTAGCTTGTGAGGGAAGAGATCAGGGAACAAATCAGTTTGGCTGTAACATGGAGTCCATGAAGGAAAACAGTAACCTAAATGTAGAGGTGGCTCTAGCTTGACTCCTACCTCCTTTAAAAACTCTTTCTTGTAACCCCTTCCTGTCAACCTTGTACCCCTTGGCCCAGAAGAGATCTTCAGTTAATTCAGTTAAGAAGATTTAATTAATCTTCCTTTCCTTTAAGAATCTTGGGCTCCCATTTGCCATTTCTGGCACATCACTTACTCTAGGCTTACTAGGAATACACTTTTAATGTTACTGTGAAAAAGAAAGTCCCTCTTTTGCTGTCAAAGATTACTAGAAAAAAAAATCTCTTTTTCTGTTAAAGATCACTTTCTCCTCACCAAATTTGGAGACAAAAGAGGCAGAATAATCCCAAATGCCACAATTCAAGCCAGCAGAATGGTCTTTCAGTTCATACAGAATCTCTTCCATCTCAAATGAGGCCAGAATGCTTTCTATTAACACAGTGGCTTTGATGGTACCGATGGGCATATTTAGCTGCAACAAAATTAAGCAATTGTGAAGAAATGGAAGGTAGTAAAACTAAAAATAATCTTCTTCAAAAAGCAAGTCAGATGAGTGATGGACAAGAATGCCATCTTAAAAAAAAATTGGCTGTACTGACTTTTATAGAAGAAGCATGTTATGGACAGGGTTCTGAGCTGGGAATCGGGGAGACCTGGATGGGTTCAGATCCCTCTTCTGACACTCCAGTTATGTGATGCCATGCAAGTCACTTAACCTCTGGGCTTCAGACAACTGCCTAGGATTTATTTATCTATCAAGTCATGGAAACTGAAAACACTTAGACTTGTCCCTAATGCAGAGTTTCTGTAAGACTGATAAGTAACAGATTAAGTGTTCTAACATGCATCATTTCCTTGCATCTCTCTTGCATCCTGCCACACAGGAAATAACACCTCCAGTGAAGCTGAAAGCTGTGTGCAGCCCTCATATGCCCGAGGATGTTAGGCAGAAAAGACTGGTTGAGACATCACCTCAGTGTCTGTGAAGAGCTCTCAAAGGCCACAGGAGTGGCTCCAACACCGGCCTGGTTCTCTGGCCCTGATGAGGACACTGCTCTGTTTTTTGTGGCACTGCTTGGTATTCCATTGACTGACACAATCACTGAGCTTGAAGGTCCAAACTCCTCATGTAACAGATTAAGACACAGATATCTAAAGAAATGAGATGACTTGCCTGATGTCACACACCAGAGCAAGGACCAAGCCCATGTGTCCTGATGCTTTCTGTTACATATCCAACACTCCATATACATGTAACATTTGTAAGTCTCAGCAGTCATAATTGTTTTTCTTCATTTATTAGTACAAAAAGAACTTAAAAGTGCAGTTTTAAAAAATAATTTACCTTTTCCTGGGTCCAGACAAATATGTTATTCCATAGCCTGGCTTCCTGATAACTCTCTACCTGTGGGCATAATAATGTTGTATATGAATTATTATCAGTTGTAAAACTTACACACCATCACTTAACTCAAGCATTTTATAGATAGTAATTGTTTACATGTGTACGGTGCTTTGTGAAGCACTCATTTGATCCTCATGACAACTTTGTAAGGCAGACAGTGAGAAGAGCATGGGGCTTGCTGTCCAGAGATGCAGGATCAAACCATGGCTACCTCTCAGAGCTGCCCGTTCCCCAGTTAGGAGACGGAGATACCAACCTCAGGATTATTGAGAAGAACTCTTCCCAAACTCTGTGTCAGTCCTTCTCCCCACTTTGAAGGATGAAAATCCTGAGGCCCAGAGAGAGTAAGCACACAACCATGTGTCGTGGGCAAGCAGCAAAGCCAGGACTGACTCCCAAATCCAGGGCTTATTCTTCTATATCAGCATAGTTAAAAGAAGCTATTTTTACTTTTATTGGGCTTAGAGTGTCTTGTGATTGTATAAATGCCTTCAATATTACCTTTAGGTGGATTACGAAGATTACTCTTACCCTCATGTTCTCCAATCCCATTTCTAACTGATTTCTGTCAGTGCCTCAAACTAAGTATGTCCAAAACTGACCTCATCTTTCCTTATTCCACAACCTTCCCTTCACTCTTCTCTGTTTCTTTGGAATGCATCACCATCTTCCTCTGAGTGACTCAGGCTCAAAACCCTGGAGTCTCCTTTGATTTTTTCCATCTCTCTTACCTTCCACATCCAATTAGTTTTCAAGTTCCATAAATTCAGCCTACATAGTATTTCTTATATCTGTTCCCTTCTCTCCATTCCAACTGTAGCCACTGTAGTTTAGGCCCTCATTTCTTCTTACCTTGTTTTCTAACCTGTCTTCCTGCTTTTAGCCTATACCAGAGAGGTCATGGGATTTCAAATTGGAAGCCTCTCTCATTTTACATATGAAGGATTTCCTCTGTTCAAAAACTTTCAATCCCATTGCTTACCAAATAAAATATAAATCGCTGGGTTTTGTTATATTCTCTGCCATGTGGGTGGCTTTGTTCATCCCAACAACCATGCCTAGAATGAACTCTTCTACCTGATCCTATCTTGGTCTATTGGAATCCTTCCTGTCCTTAATGATTTAACTCAATTGTCATTTCCTCCCTGAAACTTTGCCTGATAGCCCTCTTCTCTTTCACCGTACATCCGAGATAAAAGAAATTTATTTCTTTCTCCTTGAATTCTTGGTAGCACTTTGCTTTAGACTCTCCTCTACACTTATTGCTCCCTCTTGTATCAGTTATTTGTGTCTATATACCTCTAGGCCCTCCCCTTAATTAGACTGTAAATCCTTAAGAACAAGATCTTTATCATGGCTATCTTTGAAGCTCCAACATTTGGCACAATGCCCTACATCTATATTCCAAGGATGCACAGTTTTCTCTGTGTGAGCGTTCCTTCCACCAAAACATTACAACCCTTCTTATCCTTTAGTAGATAGTCTTTGTGAGTTACTGTGACTAAAAAAATTAGCACCCTGCTGCCACCCTTCTAGTGGAAAAGCGGGTCCTTGGACAACAAGTATAAAGTCCATTGCTGGGCCTGAAATAGAAGAATTTCCAGCCTGTGTAGGACCTACCAGAGTTTGTGCTATGTTGGCATAGCTTTTGAGATACCAGAGACACTCCCACATCATGATATGACAATAGAAGAGGTCCTTAATGACTATTAAACTAAACTGCTTTGATTTCACATGTATAATAGGTATCATATTGCTTGCCTTCTCAGTGGGTGGGGGAGAGGCAGGAGGGAGAGAATTTGGAGCTCAAAATTAAAAAACGAATGCTACTAAATAAATAAATGAATGAATGAATGAATAAATAAAGCTTGAGAAAAAAATAACCTGCTGAAGGTCACATAGATAAACTTAGTCCCACAGAGCTGAGAGTAGAACCTAGGTCTCTTGACTTGTAATCTAGTGTTCATATCTCAACCTGGCTACACAAGCTTCCAACTTCTCTGTCTTGACTTCTTCACCATACTCCAAGAAGCTCATTATTAGGATAAGCTCATCATCCTGTAAGATCTCATCTGCCTTGGTACTCCACCTCATCACTACTGTCTGCCTTTCTGAAGGGTAGGGCCATGAACTCCAAGCCTTCCATTTAAAGAGAAACCTCAGCATAGACATCTCATTTCTTACCTGGCTGCACTTTGGGATTTCTCCGACTTCTCTCCCATACTCCAAGGTCAGCTACTTTCCTACACCCCCCTTTTCAGCTTCCTTTTGTTGTCTTTCCCAATTAGATTGTAAGCTCCTTGAGGGCAGGGACTATTTTTTTTTTTTGGTATTTATATCCCCGGTGCTTAGCATGGTGCCTGGCACATAGTAGGTGCTTGAGAAATGTTTCTTGACTAACTGGCTATTAAACTATACCATCCTGCCTTGACAAAAACCATCCTAACACTGGATGAACCATATCTTAGCTACTATCCAGTTCAACCATAAATAAACCAGGTAAATCATACTGATTTTTTCCCACTTAATATTATTTTATCTTTTTCCAATTACACATAAAGATAGTTTTCAGTATTCATTTTTATAAGATTTTTGAGTTCAAATTTTTTTCTCCCTCCTTCCTCCTCAAGATGGCAAGCAATCTGATATAGGTTATACATATATGATCATATTAAACATATTTCCACATTAGTCATGTTGTGAAAGAAGTATCAGAACAAAAGGGAAAAACCACTAGAAAGAAAGAAAAAAGAAAGAGAGGAAATAATATGCTTCAATCTATATTCAGACTCCATAGTTCTTTCTCTGGATGTGGACAGCATTTTCTATCATGAGTCTTTTGGAACTGTCTTTGACCTTTATGTTGCTTAGAAGAGATAAGTCTGTCAAAGTTGGTCATCATACCATGTTGCTGTTACTGTGTACGATGTTCTTCTGGTGCTTACTTCACGCAGCATCAGTTCATGTAAGTCTTTCCAGATTTTTCTGAAATCCACCTTTTCATCATTTCTTATGGAACAATAGTATTCCATTACATACATATACCACAACTTGTTCAGCCATTCCCCAATTGATGGGTATCCCCTCAATTTCCAATTCTTGGCCACCACAAAAAGAGCTGCTATAAATATTTTTGTACATGTGGGTCCTTTTCCCTTTTTCCATTATCTTTCATCATCTCAGATCTAGTAGTGGTATTGTTAGATCAAAGGGTGTGCACAATTTTATAGCCCTTTGGACATAGTTCTAAATTGCTCTCCAGGGTAGCTGGATCAGTTCACAACTCCACCAACGATGCCTTAGTGTTCCAGTTTTCCCACATTGTCTCCAATATTTATCATTTTCTTGTTTTGTTATATTAGCCAATCTGATAGGTGTGAAGTGGTACTTCAGAGTTGTTTAATTTGCATTTCTCTAACCAATAGTGATTTAGAGCATTTTTTCTGACTATAGATAGCTTTAATTTCTTCATCTGAAAACTGCCTTTTCATATCCTTTGACCATTTATCAAATGGGGAATGATTTGTATTCTTATAAATTTGACTCAGTTCTCTATATATTTTAGAAATGAGGACTTTATCAGAGACACTGGATGTAAAAATTACTTCCTAACCTTCTGTTTTCCTTCTAATCTTGGTTTGCATGGTTTTGCAACTTTAATTTAATGTAATCAAAATTACCCATTTTGCATTTCATAATGTTTTCTATCTCTTGTTTGTCATAAATTCTTCCCTTCTCCATAGATCTGACAGGTAAACTATTCCTTGCTCTCCTAATTTGCTTATGGTATCACCCTTTATGTCTAAATCATGTATTCATTTTGACCTTATTTTGGTATATGGTTTAAGATGTTGGTCTGTGCCTAGTTTCTGCCATACTATTTTTCCAGTTTTCCCAGCAGTTTTTGTCAGATAGTGAATTCTTATCCCAGAAGTTGGAGTCTTTGGGTTTATCAAACAGTAGATTACTATAGTCATTAACTACTGTGTCTTGTGTATCTAATTTATTCCACTGATCCGCTACTCTATTTCTTAGCCAGTACCAAATAGTTTTGATGATTGCTGCTATACAGTTTTAGATCTGGTATGGCTAGGCCACCTTCCTTTGCATTTCTTTTAATTAATTCCCTTGATATTCTTGATTTTTGTTCTTCCAGATGAATTTTGTTTTAATTTTTCTAGCTCTATAATTTTTTTGGTAGTTTGATTGGTATGGCACTGAATAAGTAAATTAATTTAGGTAGAATTGTCATTTTTATTACATTAGCCTGGCCTACCCGTGAGCAACTGATATTTTCCAATTATTTAGATCTCACTTTATTTGTGTGAAAAGTGTTTTATAATTGTGTTCATATAGTTCCTGGGTTTGTCTTGGCAGATAGACTCCCAAATATTTTATATTGTCTTCAATTATTTTAAATGGAATTTCTCTTTCTATCTCTTGCTGCTGGGCTTTGTTAGTGATATATAGAAATGCCAATGATTTATTTATGTGAGTTTTTTATATCTTGCAACTTTGCTAAAGTTGTTAATTTTTTTTTTTTTGGCTAGGCAGTGGGGTTAAGTGACTTGCTCAGGGTCACACAGCTACTAAGTATTATGTGTCTGAGGCCAGATTTGAACTCAGGTCCTCCTGAATCCAGGGCCGGTGCTCTGTCCACTGTGCCACCTAGCTGCCCCCTTTGTTAATTATTTCAAGTAGCTTTTTAGTTGATTCTCTAGGATTCTCTAACTATACCATCATATCATCTGCAAAGAGTGATAGCTTTGTTTCCACACTACCTGTTCTAATTCCTTCAATTTCTTTTTCTTCTCTTTTTGCTAAAGTTAACATTTCTAGTGCAATATTGAATGACAGTGGAGATAATGGACGTCCTTGTTTCACCCCCTATCTTACTGAAAATGCTTCTAGTTATCTTCATTACATATAATGCTTGCTGATCATTTTAGATAGATGCTACTTATCATTTTAAGGAAGACTCCATTTATTCCTATGCTTTC